TATAATATCGCGCGGAAGAGGAAACACTGTTCGTACAAGTAGTTCCGGCCCTCGAGCATATATAAATCATATATAAATCGAGAGAGATTTAAACGCTATTCTAAAACAATAAATACCACGCACTGACTCGACGCTTACAATTATAACACACCGGATATAGATTCAGATTATAATTTGTGATACTTCAAAAATTTATAAGTCAAATATTACCAACCCATTCTAGTATATAATACGTTAATAACCATATGAGTATTAACTAATTGGCTTTATAGTAATAATTGTGTATACAATTATTATAAATGCTATTATCTTATCTTTTCTCTTATATTATTCTTTTATCTTTTGTAGTAAATTTCAATAAAAAATTTTAAAGGAACGGGTTCAAAGAAAATGACACACCTACAAAACACAATATTATATCATTCATACCGAAATTTTTGCATTAGCAAAATCAATTGATTGAAAAATGGTACAGATTCAAAATTAATAAAAATAATGTTTTATTTTTTACATTTTTTAAAATGATAAAACCGTCAATAATTTTTAGAAATTTTTCTAATTATTTTTATTTTGTATAATTTTAATTATTTTCCTTGTAGACGTAAAATGTATTGCAACATAAAAAGCATAAAAATGCAAATTTCAGCATAAAAATGGTTTTATGCTATACAATTAGAAGGTTAATAAAAATATTTTTAATAGTTACAATTGTTTTTGTTATAATCAATTGTAATTATTCAATGTTAATATCAGCATATAAATACGAAAATGATGATGACAGTATAATACCCGTATTGATATATAATATATTATAATAAAATTATTATTTTCTTTTTACAGGGAAAAGCATTCAAGAGGAATATAAAAGACTTTATGCAAGCATATAAACCACCTTTAAATTATGAGGAAATGTACAATACAATTTTCTACGAATCTTATCTTGTTACAGAAATGTTTTTCCCGCAATATTTATTAGAACTCAAAAGAATAGCTAAAGGAGCTGACGTTTATTTTGATCATGTAACATTATTTTTTCATTGTTTCATTTCGTTTAGCAATCTATTTATTACGGTTTTCTATTTTTTCAGCTTTTCCTGATCCATTTGAATGATATTATGTTGTCGAAAACCGAAACTTCGAACGAAAATAAAGCTGCCCGTTGTTCTACGTTAATTGTTAATAGACCGAATGCGCATCAGGTATAGTAATAGGTAGTGTTGTACATAAATAACCATCAAATTATCTGGATAGGATAACGAATAATTCATTTAAAATTCCGACGATTCCAAACACCGCACACTTTTTTAAATTCTTGTAACCAAAAACCGCACATTTTATAATGATATATAATTTATGATTTATTATTTTACCCCCTGTGGTTTGGGGTTAGAATAGGACCACAGTAACTCCTGCTTATCGTAAAAGGCGATTAAAAGGAGTTAGCGGAGGGCTGCAGTAATCGCTACTACCGACCACTGACGATTTTCGCAGCGGATCTAACGGCAATGGAAGATTTGGCGAAGGCAGCTTGAGGAAAACTTAAGTACTGGCTCGCCAACTGCGATGCAGAAAGTAAGAGGAAACTACTGCATTATACATCCTGAGGATAATGACATGATGGATACAGTAGAATTAAAAAATTCCGGAGGTAAAATAGTCCTCCATTCGGATCTCCGGGCGGGGACTAATGCTACTAAGTATTCATTAAAGGAGAAGAACAAAGTAAGGAAAAGAAGAATAGGAACATGGAATGTAAGGTTTTTAGGGATCTGTGGTAAATTGGAGAACCTCAAAATTGAAATGGAACGACTTAAAATAGATATAATAGGAATAAGTGAACTAAAATGGAAAGGTAAAGGAGATTTCTGGTCGGAAGGCTACAGAATTATATTTAGTGGCGATGACCACAGAGTAACAGGAGTTGGTTTCATACTGAACAAAGAAATAGGAAAAAAAAGTAGTAGAAATTGTTCAATATAATGACCGAATAATTGCTATTAAAATAGAAACTAAACCTGTTGATACATTTATTTTACAAGTATACATACCAACCTCAACTCACAAAGACGAAGAAATAGAGGAAATGTATGAACAAATAAATGAGGTGATAGAAATAACAAACGAAAAGACAAATTTGAGTGTTTTAGGAGACTGGAATACTATAGTAGGGGGAGGCAAAAGAACATGGAGTTACAGGTGAATTTGGTTTAGGCAAAAGAAATGAAAGTGGACATAGGCTAATTGAGTTCTGCAAAAAAAGGAATCTAATCATTACGAATACAATGTTCTCACAACCGATAAGAAGAAGATATACATGGACCATGCCGAGAGGAAGAGCAAGATATCAAATAGATTATATATTAGTAAGAAAAAGATATAAAAACCAAGTAAAAAAATACAAAACTTACTCAGGCGCGGACATTAACAGTGATCACAATCTAGTGTTAATGGTAACAAACTTAAGCCTGAAAAGAAAGGAATATAACGAAAGTACAAAAAGAAAATGGTGTATGGATAAACTAAAGAATGAAGAAAGAAGAAGTGATTTCAATGAAGAATTAAATAATCTATTACAAAAAGCAAATAGCAATAAGAACCAAGATAATGACAAAGTCGAATGGGAAAAATTAAGGGATTCGATGACAAAAGCAGCGGAAAAACATCTCAAATTCACTAAAGAAATGCGTACGAAAACATGGATAAACAACGAAATTATAGATCTCATTGAAAAACGAAGAAAATACAAAAACGCGGTTAGTGAAGAGGGAATGTCAGAATATAAAATTAAATTGATGTATTATTCGTAATGACGTTGATAAGTATCACATAATACATTTTTTGATGGCGTTTGAAGCATTTTTTTTAGTAAATTATGTAAGTGAAAAAAGTACAAGTAAGCAAATTAAAATGTGGTAAACTCCAAGAATATAATTTAGATACTTACCAAAGAATCAAAAAATTAATATATTCTTATGAAATGTATCTTAAAGATTAATATAATAGCTAACTATACGTAAAAAAAAAATGGAAGGACTATGTATAAAACTACGAAAGTTATGCCATTTTGAAAATAAAAATTAAGAAAAAATCGTTTTTGGGTTCACCTGAAAAGTATGAAATGTCTCTTATACTAAATAACCTTTTAACCTATAATATTTCATAGAAAAACCTTTTTCGATAACACATCAAAAATACAACTAAACTATAAGACAATAATTGTAGAAATGATTACAAAATATTTTTTTAGTGGAAAAGAATCGTCATCTTACGTCAGCCGCTGGTTAATTTGAATAAACACAGTAATTTCAAGTATCAATGTAATTATTTTAATATATATTATGTCAATCGTCTAATAGGGAATTTGCGTTCATTTAGCGTTCAATAAATAATATCACAAAATCGCCTATGCCGTGAATATTGCTTACTTAATTTCTATACAATTTATCATCACGAGTATATATATAAAATAAAAACACGTTTTCAATCTTCCACATTTTAATCAGTATACAATTTTATGTAGTAAAATATTATAAAAACTATTTATAACTTTTTGAATTTTAAGTAGTTTTTCAAAAGCTCTGTATAATATTAATTATGTACCAACACTTATATAATTCACTTGTTATTTGGAAAAAATAGTTACTAAAATATTTTTCTGTTCGCAAGCTAAGTTCTAATTTGCTGATCATCAAATACTTTATAAAACTACAATAAATTGCCCATTGAATATTTTAAACATTGACGTTTTTCATGTTAATTCTTATAATGCATAAATGTCCAATAGCCTATTAAGGTTACTTAAACAGAATAATCTTACTTCCTAGACAGCAATTTAGTAATGTTGATGTTATAGTAACATTGTATATTAAATGATGTTAAACATTTTGATATAAATGTTGTTTTATTATTGTAGAAACATTTATTTTATATTATTATATGAAAAACGTTTTTTAAACGTTACCATAATATTCAGTTTTAATTCTTATAGTTTAAAAGTTACTATAACATTTTATGTTTATTATTTTAGAAATTTTGAATAAATGTGATTTTAAAAATATTTGCTTAAAATATTATACAGGAATTATTTTAATAATGTTTAACAGGCGTCGTTATAGATACTATACGACCTAAAAAATTAGAATAATATGTTATGTGATTTACATTTTACTTTTAATTATTTACTACCACAACATTGTCTATATATTATATTGGTCTCTTCGAATGTATCGAGTGTTATTTTAATATATCTATTATATATTAGAAATTTATTAACTCTATTAGGGACGAGACTACCTCTCCATAGCAGTCATTTATTCTGGTCCCCTTGGTGACCGTTAAATTAATTTTTCACTCGTAGTCTGTAGTGGAGGCTTAAATATATATTTTCGAACTACACACATTAATATATGAAGCACTTAAAATGTTTTTATCATGTGTATAAATTAATGAATCCAAATTAAAATTAAGAAGAAATAGTATTACAATTTATTACATTATATAGTGTGTTTAGTATCTACTATAGTGTACTGCACGTCTGCACATAATTTTAGTTTGGGGTCTATGCCCTATGGACTTGTATACTTGATCGATAGGTACACGTACACGGACATCTCCTTCTCCTATTCAAATAATATTTCTATTATTAAATTATAACAGCAATTGTCGAACATCGAATAACAAATGCATATCTAATATCTATAATAAAGTGATACATATATATTGTATTAAATACTTAATACTTAATTTTACATTATTCAATTGTTTGAATTTTAGATATTTTTATAATTCAAGGGTTTATGAGTTTATTATATTATGATGGTAAACCGTGTACACACTACGTAATACTAATACGTATATTAATAATATATTTATTTATATATAAATAAAAATGCTTATCTTAGTATTATCGATGGTGTTGAAACGCGTACGTCAGCTGTTTATTATGCAGTTCATATTTACCCAAAAAAATGTATTTTTAGATTTCGTGACTAGGTATACAGTGGACACTGGATAACCATGAAACAATAAATGCTGCCATTTGTCATGCTGTCTTAAATCTGAATTGTGTTGTTTGCGCACTGTGCGTCTGTGCAGTTGTTACTTGTGTCTCAGTGTCTGTGCGATTTGTTAATTTATTATTTTTAGTTTTCAAATTTCGATTATAATTAATACATACGTGATACGTCTACTGTCTACGTGTCTTCTAGCTGTTTGTTTATGGTAAATGAAATTTCTATTTAATGAACATTTTAATTTTATATTTTCATAGTATAGTGGTAGGTTTTAACATGGGTATTTACATTGTTGGTATTCAAAAATATAGTTTGTAGATACCTACCACAAACTAAAATTGTAATGTTTAAGATATTTTAGTAATGCTGTAAAAGAATAATTTAATTTTGTGGTAGATTTATAGTTTACTACGAGGTTTACTATTTACCTTTATGTATAATAATATATATTATATTTTATATACTTAATAGCCTATATTTTATACAATGGGGGTTTTACTTTGAGGGTTGTAGAGTAGGTACCTACCTTTTTTTTTATATAGGTATGTACCTACTTTTAAATTTCGCTTCTTTTTTTTTCAATTCAAGCACTAACTAGAATTTAATATAGTGTTAAGCATGTTTAAGGCATTTAAATGAGTTTAAGTCCATATTAGGTATTATGTTTTTTTAACTACTTATTATATTTACACTTAATATTTTATAATATATTTTACACACCAATATTTACAATACATATATTTACCTAGTTGAAAAGACATAAAGACATTGAATGTAATTGTCATTTGTCATACCTACTATGAATATTATAATAAAAATTCAAGTCTTTGTTAATTTATACCAAATTCAACATTTTAGTAACTATTCATTCTAATTGTTACTAATTTCCTAATTGGATGATTATTCCAAAACAGAAAAGCTGTTATATGGCCATATGGGTTTATGAATGTGCTATTTAATATAGGTGAATACAAATTATACTATGTCCATGTACCTATATAGGTATAAACTGTAAGTACCTTTGTCAAATTAGCAATAAATGAAAACATTAATACTTAACATACTACATACTTTTAAATAATATTCAACTTGAATAAATAAATCATTAACTGAATTAATTTATAAAATAAAAAAAATGAAACGTACATAGGTTATTTATGTACATTGTACAATATAAGAACAAATTAAAATATATTTTACTTTATTTAATATTTTGTTGGTAGGTGTACTTACAAACTAACCAATAGACTAGAATAGTAATACAATTTTCTATTTTAATAATAAATATGATTTTGGTAGGTTTTGATTTGTATTTGGAAGTGACTACTGTATAACAATGTCTATTAGAAAAATAGAGAGCGAATGCACCAAGAGAAGAAAGATTAGGGAAGAGATAAATGTTGTCAAGGAAATACTTTCACATTCAAATTCATTAAAATATGAACCACCAGAAAATGTTTTGGAAATAAATAAATCAAATCCTATACTTTTGTTTGAAAATAATAACTTAATATCCCACTCTAACAATCAATACAATATTTCAAATAATTTTCCATCAAATACTACAATTAATTTGCCATTACCAGTTACCAACACTTATGAGCCTACAGATACGCGTATATTTAATACAGAGAAATTATTCATAAATTCATCTAAACAATTTTCAGTTCAAGAATTTATAGCTGCTTGAGCAATAGACTTTAAAATTCCTCATAATGCAGTAAATGGTTTGTTAAAAGGTTTAAAAATGCATGATTGTTTCAATAGTCTACCAATCGATTGTCGAACAATTTTAAATACTCCTATTTGTAAATCTAAAGAAAATCGAGTTGTCAGTCCTGGAGTTTATCATCATTTTGGTTTAGAAAGAGGTATTAAATTACATGCCCCAACAAATGTATAAGATATTCAAATTGCCATTGGAATTGATGGTTTACCAATTTCAAAAAGTAGCAGCTCTCAATTTTGGCCCATATTAGCTTCCATTATGGTTGAACCTCCACCAAAAAAATCTGTTTTTCTTGTTGGCCTATACTGGGGAATTGAAAAACCAAAAGATAGTAATGAATATTTAATTGATTTTGTAACTGAAGCTAAACATTTAGAAACCGCAGGTATTATAATAAATGGAATTAATAATAAAGTAAATATTAAATTATTTTGTTGTGATGCACCTGCAAAGCATTTGCTTTAAAAGTAAAAGGTTACACAGGTTTTTCTTCATGTACTCGTTGCACTATAGAGGGAGAATATATATGCAATCGAGTTTGTTTTCCTTATTCTCAAATAAAATCAATTGATAAAAATCACTATGCATATCTGAATACTGAGGATGAGGAATATCATATTTTAAATCAAATTTCTATTCTTTTTGAATTACAAAGTTTTAACTCTGTAACATCTTTTTCGCTTGACTACATGCACTTGGTCTGCTTAGGTGTTTGTAAAAAAACTCATCAACCTTTGGATTAAAAGACCATTAAATGTCAGGCTTCGGTCTTCAAAAATAAATGAAATATCAACTTCATTATTAGCAATCAATCCATTTCTTACATCTGATTTCTCTAGAAAGAGCAGATGTCTTCAAGATGTATGTCGCTGGAAATCTACTGAATTCTGTTTATTTTTACTATACACTGGACCTGTTGTTTTAAAAACCATTTTAAGTGAAGAAATTTACACCAATTTTATGGTATTAAATATTGCAATGTTAATTTTGTTAAGTCTTGACCGAACATTTCTTCTTCAATATGCCACAGAATTGTTGGATTTTTTTGTCAAGAACTTTGATAATATTTATGGGCAGCAATTTGTATCACACAGTGTCCATGCCTTATTACACTTATGTGATGATTATTATTTATTTGGTCCCCTTGACAATTGTTTAGCATTTGGTTTTGAAAATTATATGAAAAAAATAAAATCTAATCTTAGAAAAAATGAAAAACCTTTAGAACAAATTGTTAATAGATATTATGAAAAATATGAAAAATGTGTTATAAATAATTCAAGTAATAAACCATTAATGGACAATCAACCAGTTTCGAAACATCTTCATGATAACGGTCCACTGGTTGATAATTTAACAGGTCCACAATATTACACTCTTATGTTTAAAAGTTTAACCATCAAAATTAAAAAAGAGAGTGATAGTTTTATACTAACCAAAAATGGAGAAGTAGTCAAATGTATGAATTTTGTTCAAAAAGATGGTATTATCATGCTTATTAAAAAAAAGTTCAACATTTTATTACCATATTTTGAAGATCCCATTAATTCAACAATTATTGATATATTTAAAATAAAAAAATTATCTAGTCGACTCAAATATTGGATAATATATAATATTAAAAAAAAAATGATGGTACTTCATCATAGTGGAGTAAGCCATGCCCATTATTCATATGGACATTTAAATAAATTTTAATTTGTAAATAAAATTGTAAATAGTGTTAATCAGTGAATCAAAGTTGTGTAATTAATGCTCTTAAATAAAATAGGATAGATATAGGTATATATATTAGCTAGTATAAATTTATTAATTATTACTTCAAAATATCAACATATTTTTAATAGTAGGTACATAATTAAATGAAATGTTTAAAATTTTCATAAATTCAATTACCTATTTCCTTTTTTTAGTTAGCTGTCTTCCTCGTTATCAAGGTAAGATTCAAAATGTTCTTTTTCTAATGCATTTATAGTTTTATGTAATAACTTGTATTCTTCTTTAAATATTTTTAGATGTTTCTCAATCAGCTAATTCAAACAAAGAAATAAATAATTTTGAATCTTCTGATAATTCCAATGATGCCTCTTATGACTCAGACAAAGATCCTCTTTGGAAAATTGACAAAAGCCAAAGTATAAATATTTTTTCATATTATCAATAATTAGGTGTATATTAGAATAATAAAATAAAATAAAATTATTTACCAAATTTTTATTTAATTTAAACGTGTAATTAACTATTTCATATAATATACATTTACTACTATATATGAAAACTAGAAATAATTTAAACATCAAATGAATTATGGAAATAAAATTCAGTATATTAAAAAAAAATAATAGATACCAACATTTAAAAGTAACCATTGAATTTTCACTATAATTTTGAAGAAGTTTTAAACCCTGTTCGACTTAGTATGCTAATAAATGAATATTATATAAATTAATATTATTATCTATTACATTATTTTTATCACCATTATACATAATATTAGATGTAATAGTCTAATGTTGAACTTAATCTAATTCTGACTCATAAATTTTGATTTGTTTTATTTAAATATAATATTTATATATCTATCTTTTGATATATGTGTTGATTTTTCTTTAATCTTTAAAAGTGTTGGCATTATGTTGGTATAATAAGCATTGTATTAAAATTGAAAATTTATTGTTAGTTGTATTACTATGTTATTTTGGCTTTAAAAAATGTAATATATATTTTCTAGGAATCATTATGTAATTATATATTTAAACTTTTGACTGTAACTTTTTGTGTTTAGGGAACTCTGTTATTGATGGTATTAATTGTTAACTCCTGTAAAAAATGCCTCTGTGTTAGTTAATAAACTTATTGACAATACAGAACATATAATTCCATCTCCTGTTGGAACTTGGACAGTTGAAAAATACGAAGATACACAATTATTATATAAAACAAGTTCTGATCGCAGTAGTATCAAAGTTAAAAAAGTATTATTTTGTGATCAAATGATTGATAACTCAGGTAATAAAATCTATGATAGTTTATGATTATAAACGTATTCTTTAACTTCAATAATCATGATGATCTAATAAATGTTACCCAAAATATACAATTTATATTAAAAAAAAAAAATAAGATTTAAAAACTTCATAGTATGTCCTATGATTAATTGTATAAGCAAAAGTATTAATATAAATAAATAATTTCTTTTAGTTTGCCATCACTATAAAAAATAAAAATGAACTCATAAAGTTTTAACATACCAATATATATCTGTGTCTTTATCTATGCTAATATTTATATTCTTTTATAAATTAAGATAAACTTTTTTTATATATATTACTATATAGAATCTAGTACTACAGCTGATGTTTTGAAATTGCCTCAAGATACTAATATTTCTCAAACCCAGTCAAATATATCTAATGGTATGTGCATTATTTAGTATAATAATTTATACTTGTATAGTTACTGTATTTATACCTATCTAATTTCTGATAAACTTAATTGATTTGACAGATTTTCAATGGTTTATTACTAATACTTTAGTAAATGTAAAATATGACATTGGTAGCATTTTAAGTATTGTACAATCAATAGTATTAGTATTAATACATTAATGGCTTATAAAAATACTTCAGCCAAAAATATCATAAATCTTGATAGTATATTTCCTATTAAAACTCATGGTGAATTAGAATCTTTGGAAACAAAAATTAAGGCTGATGAAAACTTTAAAAATACATTGGTATTATACTTTTTAACTCTTTAAATTATTCTCTATTATATAAATGTATTGTAACATAATATGTTTATTTTTTAGATTACTCAGTTATCAGTATTAATTGATGTTATTGATCTTGGAAATAGTGTTCGAAGAATTGTATCAAGAATGTTAAGTGATGTTTTGCTATCTGAATATTCGTTATATGGATTTAAATCAAAGCTGTGTTTCTCAAGTTCAAATTGCTATTGAGTTATTATAGGTAAAGCATATTAAACTTTGACTTATTACAAATTACAATAAAAACTATGAAATGAATTATCACTACTATAGGTAGTTGACATTTATTATTATTATTAAGCATTGTAATATGCTACATTTTATTTTATTAATCTAAGATATTATTATTGTACATTATATAGATGCTATAAGAGTAAATGTAAAGTACAGTGTTGTTCCCGAAAAAGAAATTGATAATTTGCTAGGAATTTGGCTATCCCATGCACCATTTCGTATCAAAAAAGCTATCTCGAAAACAAGAAAAACTCTCCAGAATTCTTTCTTCAATTTAATATTAATTGTTATGTATTATTCGTTAAATTATATTCATCAATATTGTTATTATATTATTAACATTTTTTTTAATCTTAGTATTGTATCTTTTAAATTGACAATTTTTTATTTACTTTTTATAATATATAATGTAGTTAATATTATATGATATACTCCACAGTTCGTTATGTTTTTATTTGAATTTTGAATGTAGAATCATAATATTTAAATTGTATAAACATATATTAAAATATTGATATTCCAATGTATTAAACCTATAAATTTATATGCAATATACATATATTTATGTGCTATTTGAGAGTAAACAAATTTGCATTTTAGTAAAATTTGTTTGTTTATCTACAATCGCACATCTTTTCAAAACCAATGCTAATAAAGAAATATTTTAAAAAAAATTTTCTTTTATGGTTATAATATTTTAATTATAATATTACAATATTATTTGTTTAAAATGTTTGTCAAATATTTAAAAATAATATGAACTTAATAGTATGTGATCAACATTATGATAATATTGATATTATGTCGTTAGGATAACATGAAATTAGCGGCCAAATAATTTTATAGTAATGTTACAGTAACGTCTACAAATATTATCATAACATTGATGAAATATTTTACTAAATGTTACTGTTTTATAATTAACATTCTTACAACATTATAAGAATATTCTTTTGCTGTCTGGGTTATATTTTCCAATAGATATAATATAATATAATATAAATATAATATATAATATAATACATATATAATACATAATACACGGTTATTCAAAATGATTCATCCGATTTTAAATAGTTATAAAATGGTAATTATACATTTTATCTTATTAAATTATATACCAATTGAAAGATGGTATACCCAAGTTTTAGAATGTCATTAATTGTTTGTTTTACAATTATTGATTTTAAGCAATAAATTATTTTATGCAAATAATCGTATGTTAACCGAACAGCAGAAAGCGTTTTGTGTGTTGCGATTTTCAAAATGTGAATTGGTAAGAACCGTGCAACATGATTTTCGCCATCGTTACGGGATCAATGTATCGACTTCTCAGAACATACGTCAATGGTATTAGCAGTTTAAAGAAACAGGGTGTTTGGGCAAAGGAAAAATCACATGCCATCCTACGTGTATCTGTGTATCTATTGGAATTAATTACAAAAGATATGCTATAAAAAATATGGAATGAGATTGATTATCGGCTAGATGTTGTTCGTGTGATCAGAGGAACTCATATAGAATATTTATAGGTAACATATTTATAGTTAAACTTGACATATTTCTCTTTTATTTAATGTATAACATATTGTTCTTAAAATAAAAAATAAAATTATCCAAGCATTTGAAATCAGATGAATCATTTTGAATAACCCTGTATAATATAATCATCAATAAATACCTGGATCAGATTTGTTACGTTTTTGAGAACAGGTGTAAAATGTTGAATTAAAAATTAACAAAATTGAAAAAATATAAAACTCCATATTAATTTTTTTTGATTTAAATTCAATATTAACATTAGCAGTGTACTCGCACTTTTAAATACTTTTAGCACAGGTGATTTAACATCTGTAGAATGTGCATACATTCGTTTGTTAGTATTGTAAGCTATAACACTACGCGTTACTAACGCAGCATTTAAATATCGAAAATTAAGTCTATGGTTTGTACACAACAGGCGTACACATTATTGCGGAACCATTTGCGTTTTTAAAACCTAACGTGTCTAAAACTATTTGATTAATTAGTTATCGATCGATACCCACATCATAACATTCTTTTCAAATTCTAATTGACACTATGCATGTGTAATATGTATATACTTATGTATATTGTAGTACAAAGTATTCACGTTCTCTGATGTACCTTTTTAGCCGGCCATACGAAGCAGTGGTGCCGAACTTTTAAAATTTTACTCGGGCCAATAAAAATACAACGGCAACCCAGCCGCCTCAAACCTATATTTTTACTTTACATAAAATATAATTTGTGCTATCAAATCATAAATATTAAACATGATTCATATTAGTCAGACACGTACCGATAAACATCGTACCGTACAATTCCGCAAAATGTTTTATTATGTGTTTTGATTAGGAAATTCACACTTGAACGTTTCCGTTCCGTTCTTGCACGAACTAATCAGACCGACAGTGTCCGTTCGGCATTCCTCGTGAGAATAATCGCAATGTTAGAATATTGCAAAGTGTAAACCATAGATCGGCCCATCTAAACTTCGGTCTCATTTTAAAAATGTAGCCATGGCCTGACTTAAGCATAGTGTTCGGCGCCACTGGTACAAAGTGTTCACATTATGCATTTCAAACAATGGACCGTACAAATTTACCGTTTACCGTCTAAAACGTGTAGTATGTAACCAGCTTAAGCAATATAAAACAACAATCAAAAATAAATTTTGGTATAGAGCTGATGGTAGACACAACGTGTTTTACAAACGCTGCGTTCAAACACCGAAAAATAAACCTGT